CATACTGTGATACTGAGGGAAAGGCCTTAAGAACAGTGATCATTTTAGAAGCTTTATGCCTTCAGCCACAAACAGGAATAAGAACAAATTTATGTACAGTACAAAAACTGCACTAGACTTCTGCACTTACACATTGCGATTCAGTCCCACCTGAAGTCTCCTTAATGTGGCTCAGTCGTGGTGACCTAATGCTTAGTAAGTCACAAAGCATTATTGCAGATCTTTAGAGGAACAGGCATTTAGCAAAAAGAAATATGTAGATAACACAAGTCTGGAAAAGTGTTTTATTCTGTTCTGAATATATGTGAGATCATCAGATAACAGGCTTTTTAGTCAGAAACGTTAGAGATTGTACTGCTTTTATCTATTTAAAAATGAAGAGAAAACAAATAACAGAATAATCTGTTGCTATGCAACGTCATGCAAGTAAGTTAAAAGTTGGCAAAAGTAATTAATACAAAAGATGTGACTAAGCATACTATGTATGAGGCCTGTCCTGAACCACTTTAGCTGACTCTCATAAAATACAGATTTACAGTGGATTGATTGTTTAATGCACATTTGGGCAATACTTACACAATAATTGCTCCTGGAAATTCATTTTGCTAATGACTTTTGTGCCAGTGGATGTAGTTGTCTCTATATTTTAATAATCCCTGTGCTTTAGGACATCCTGTATGTACCAAAGTAATGCTGACAAATCAGATTATTCAACCGCTAAGTTCTCTTTGTGATCGCTGCTTCTCCATTATAGCTTACATTATCACAGTATGTCTAATTTGAGGTCTTACATTTGTTTAGAGGGGAATAAGAGAGGGGAACTATTGCAGTCTTAAATGATGTGGCCAAGAGGCAAGGGAAATAAGCATTGGATAAAGCAGGATCTTTAGTGCAAAACCACTACTGGTAATTGTTTCTGTACAAACAACAGAAGGTGGACCTGGGTTAATGGAGGGATCACAAGGTAACTTCAAGGACAGCTGCTTAACTGTTGGTAAATACATTGAAGAATCTAAGGTACAGAAAGGTTTGAAGATGTTTAACATCTTTTTTTTTTTTTTTTTTTTTTTTTTCTTAAAGGCAAGGCAAGTAAGAAGGATACCATCCAAGTAAAATACTCCAACCATATGTATGGAATAAAGAGAGAAAAGGGGATTTTATAGTTTCCCATTTAAAAGCAGTATTACAGATTAGACTACCAGAGCTCTTGCACTGACTGTATAAGTGTTTGGGACAAAACGCAGTTAGCCAAATAACTATCAGGACGTAATTTCAGTATGTGCTATTCAATGTGAGTAAGTATGCCTGAGGGCAGCTCAAAACTCATTTTTCACTAGTATTAATAACAGCTTACTGAATATAGTAATACAAACAGCACTAGAAAAAGGGTCAGTTTCCTAGGATAAGAAGATATCCAAGGAGTCAGTGCTGGAAATGCAGCACTTCCTCTCCTCCTCTTGCCCTCCTATTTGGCTGGTGGGTTTTGCCAAAACTTCTAGGTCAGTAACAGCAATTACAGGGAACTCTTTACCAGCCCAGTGAAAAGTTTATCTTGTGGGTCTTGCAGTCAACTACACTGGCAGTTGACCTTAGGATCTCTATCAGTCTCATATTCCTATGATTATTCTCCCTGGTAGCCTTGCACTGTCTCAGCTTACAAGCTAAACCATTGCACACAGTGAAAATGGCTAAAATATGGAAGGAAAAAAAAAAAAAAAAATCTTCCTGTAAAGCCTGACTATAAATGACTTGCAGTGAGAGTAGCAGAGGATCCCACGCAGGGTCAGTGCTAGCTGACATATTAGTGCAAATTTGTACTGATACACAAGCAGGAGCAACCGTCAGACCAGCAGCTGATATTAATCCTATCAAAGCTCAAGTAGTTCATTCTGAGTATTAGCGTTTCTCTTCCATTATCGGTACTGACAGCTCTGAAGGTGGTCTCTCATGTTATGAAATCACTGAATTCAGGAGGAGAAAGTAGGCTTACTTTGTGTACTCTATAATTACAGTATTTCTATCACAGCATGTGCTAGAGGTGAAAAAGTCTCAAAAGAAACTGGATAATGAAAATCTGTGGGTAGGTAACATTGTACGTGACGTTCATGTGGAGATTGTTCTCTACTTAGCTTGGAAGGTTGGGACAGCCTTGACTTGAGTTCCCTTTTCATTTTGAATGGGGAAGGGATAAAGCAGCATTAAAAATTGTCAATCTTCATCACTTGATCCATTTTATCATGTCTGAATAGCCAGACATTTGTGCAGTTGGAAAAATTCAACAAAGGGAAGAAAAAAAAAATGCAGTCAGTCCTTCAGTTATATGTAACTTTGTATAGATGTAGAGACCTCAAATAACAAAAAGCTAGAACAGAGAATGTTAGCAACTGCTTGGAACAGGATTTCCTCCAAAAGTCCAACATTCACTAAAATTTGGCTAGCTAAAGAGCAACTGCCTACATGTTAGTGCCCAGTGTATCATACTGCAGACATAGAGCCTGCATCCCAGTAAAAGTCAGTCATGTTACAGGCAATCCTTCCATCACATGGGTGGCTAAACAACACCTTCTTCCATGCAGATTTCTCCAATGAGGAGCACTGTCTTGTTGCAGTGGGTGGTGCTGCATGAAGTAAGTGGCTGAGTGGAATAGGTAGATATTTATCCATATCTTTCCTCACAGCACTACAGAAACACAACAGTAAGAAACTTAAGTGTCATGTGTATTTGGGTTACTGATCTGCTTAACAGCTGCCTCAGACTGTTTCTAGAAGATGCCCTTAAGCATTGTGCAAAAGATACAAAGCAGTGACGTAGGCTGGTTATAGAAAATGGTTGGATTCATGCTATGGGGGGCTGTGAATATGCTGATGGCTGCTGTGTCAGCGTTTGAGAGATGCTTTCGGCAGCAACCATCAGGAAAGAGTGCTAAACTGTGTGAAACTGGATGTCGTGAGTCACCAAAACCTTAGCATTGTGCATAAGAAAGAACAAGGACAATGTCATGACAGTGAGGCTACTTTACCTTCTGCTTTAGTTGAAATGTGTTTCTGAATGTATGTGCTAACTTATCCTACCCGGTTAATGTGTAGATTTGCTGTTAAACCAAATCAGGTTATATCAGATGGGAGAGCTATGAGAGAGTATCAAACCTAGAGGCATTTGCTGCTGATCGCTGTGTTTTATATCAGGCTCCAGATGATCTCTGAGGGATGCAGTGCCCTACTAGGTGCAATGTTGTAAATATTTGCTTAATTTGAGCACTGCAGTCAACAGAAGTGTGCTGGTACTTAAGGAACCCTAGATGACTTAATCATAGGTGTGATACAAAAGGTAGAGTGACAATCAGAAAGGATAAAGAGCATCCAGCTCAGACAGCAACAGGATAGATCCTTACTGAATAGCCTAGGCCCACAGACTTTGGTTTCTGCACACTGCAGGAAACAAAACTCCATCATCTTAGTGCAGGTTGGATGCAAACTATTGGAAAAGGGAACAGTCTGGTTCAGTCCTTTACCAGGCAAATAGTACAAGCTGAGGCTTTGCTAGATTTGGCTCATCTGGCAAAACCACTGGCTGTGGTAAGCTGATGTGGACTTTGCAGCCTCACACAAATAACAAGATCCTCAACTTTGAGGATTTTGTTCTAATGACATCAAGAATTATTTTAAGTATTGTAATATTGTCCTTAGTTTTATATTTACATCTCAAGGTGAATAATAAACTGCTGACTACAAGGTCTCTGACTACAGACCTGTCAGAGGAGAAAAAAAAATAAAATAAACAAAAACCTTTTGCTCACAATCTAAACAGGATTAAAACGATTGCTCCCTCATTTGAAACAACAGGCAAATGTGTTGAAATTTCAGAGGTAGAAATGAAATGTGAAAATGAGATGAAGTTACACTAGAATCTCTGGTTAATGTGGGTGTGGCTGTTTGGAGAGTTTTATGACCTGATTTGTCCATTTTTTTCCTCAGGAAACTAATCTTACAGTAAAGACAGTAGAACAATGTGTGTTTATTTTAATGTTGTAATAGGCAGCATGAATAATTAACTGACCTATACTAGCGGTGAATATACACGTGCTACAATTATACTACGTAAAGAAGATGCAGGAACACAGTCATTTTATGTGGGCAGTTGTCTTCAGCAAAAGGACAGTATGAGAGTATGAGGTTACTCAACAGTAGCAACATTTTGAAATGCCATAGCCAAATCTGCCAAAGATTGAGACCTAAGTCTCAATCTTTGGCAGATTTGGCTGTGGCATTTCAAAGTCTGAGACCTAAGTCTCATAAAAAATTACTCTCTGCCTCCCCAGCTGTGTTTCTTTATAGCAGCATAAGAGCTGAGAAAGTCATTCAATACTTTTTTTTTTTTTCCTATGCTTACAGCTAAAAACAGATGAAGTTTTGTATAGCCCTCCACATCTAGTAGAATGAGATATCAAGGTTGTCCTACTACTTCTAATATTATTGGTTTGTGCCTATGTTATTTTGCTTAATAACTCGTAATGTGAATGTGAAAAGATACAACTACTGTGCAATTGGGAGAAAAAGTTATGGGCCATAGATTTAGGCACTTACAATGTTTGGACTTGTTCCCCCTGAAATAAAGAGGAGTTCTACAGTTGTCTGTAAAAGATGCAGGACTAGGTTTTAAATCATCCTACAAAGCATTAAAGCTCTATTAAAGAAATGTACTTTCAGAAGGAGCTGAAGAAAAAGCTGCCAGTCTAACTTATTCCATATAACCAAGAGGGTGATTAAATGTTCCAAATATGCAGAAGTCAAATGTCCCATTTCTGCTTTAAATCTTTTCCTTTTATAGGCTGTGGGTTATACTCCCTGCTTTGAAAACCTGTGCTGTTTAGGAACAAGAATTTATTTACAGTTTTAAAAACTTGCAACTAATCTTGGATGAATAGTCTAAATTAACCTTTGGCAGAGAAGTTGTAATTTCTAAGCCAACACACAACTGCATTTTGCATTAGTTCAGGAATATTGGGTACTTTGAGGGGTTAAGAATGAAATATTTTCCATGATTCATATCTCTTTTAGCTTGAAAAGTCAACAACTCGATTCTAATGTAGCCAAAAGGGGTTTTCAGTCCAAAATGTCTCGTTGCTTGCAATTAATTTGGGTTCTTGCAGTTAGGGTTTTGTATCACAATGCATTAATGCATGAAAGCAGCTGCACAATGAGTAGTGCCACATGTTTCAACTAAAAATAATCTGTGTATATTGTTGCTGCGCAAACAGTTGTACATTTTGGTCACTGAAGATAATCTCTCTGTTAAAACAGCAGACGCAGATGGCAGAATCAGATGCGTATTGGTAGAACTGCAAAGGGAATGCTCGCGTGTGCCTGCTCATGCCACCTAGCCATGAGCCATTCCTTTCTGTCTTGGCAAGGATGCTGAGTCCTATTATTTAAACCCACAAAAATTGCAACTAAACTTTTTATGATAAATGTACTTAGGCAAATGGAAACAACTTTTATTTTCCCTGAAACAAGGAGTTTGGAACTTGGACAACTGACATGGAGCTTGAGGGGGGGGTAGCTATTCTAATTTAGAATTAATTCTGTCTTCTTGCAGACATATCGATGGGAGAAGAAAAAATAAATAAATAAAATGGTATGCTTTCCAACTTGCTGAGATCCAAATCTTTCTTCCATTTGCAGTCCAATGTTTTGTGGCCCCACTGAAGACCCTGTGACTTCCAAGAAACTCCAGAGAAATTGATTCTGATCCCCATCCTGCTAAGGTACATACAGTGGCTTGTCAGCAGATGACTTCTTCATCTTTGGGTTTTCAAAGCTGGAAGTAGAAGCAAGTGCTTTTCACTTCAAGCTCTGCTTTCAGTCCTAAAGTAAGCTATACAGAGAAAAACTTAAAGATTGTATTTTCATCTGTTCCTTACATGAAACCTGTTCTGGCCTATATCTGCCACCAGGCACAGTGCTAGCTCCCCGGTACAATACTGTGGTACACTAGAGCCAGAGTCTTAATACATGCTGGAGAACCTAGAGCCTGGCTTTCCAGCCCATAGGCAAGTGGAGTACTTTAGGAAGCTGTTCTTTCCTATCCTTCCTCTCTTTGTCTGTCCCTCACTTTTTGGGGTATGGCTGGGATGGAGTTAACTTTTTCACTTGCCAGGTTAGACTTCAGCAGACAGCAGGAGTGCTCCTCATCCACCTAGAGCCCTGGGGGCAGCAAAGCACAGGTCTCAGCTGCAGCATGATGTTGTTATGCTCAGGAGGAGTAAAAGTGTTCCTGCTCCCACTGCAATTGGACTCATTTTTGCTGGGAAGTATGTTCCAACTTTTCATCTTCCCATCTGTGCTATCCTGTTAGTCTGCAGCTTAGCATAAGCTGCTAGTGAAGTGTAACATAATGGAGGAGATAACACTAATTTCCATTCAAAGATAGCAGGACTGCCATCTATCACCGCTCAATAGGCACTAACATCTAAGGCAAGCTGTCTGTTTTTATTTTCCAAGCCTCAGTGCAGTGCAATGTACTTAACTCCAAGAGCCGCGACTGACAAGCCTTGGTTGCTGCCACTTGCTGCCTTTCGTCTGGATCCAGTGTTTCCAGTCAGCCAGCTTGAATTAATTTACCATTGGAAACAAGGAGGCCCCATTCCTACAGGTAAGTCTGATCTCATTTGACAGGCTGCAGGTGGCTGTTGATTACCAAGTGAAACCTGTACAGTAAGTGCCCTATCTGAACATAGTACCAGACTGGCAATATGGTTGGAAATTAAAGTAGTAGCAGATAGTTTATAATAGTGTGTTTTAATTATGGATCTATTTGTAAACCAGCTGTTCATAACCATTTACCTATCACTAGGCAAAGGTGTAGGGATGTTCTCTATACTGGTTAGCTCTTACATCTGATAAGTTCTGCAGGTTAATGATAATGTATTATCATGCAGATTTATCTCTCTTCCAAAATGAAGCACCCATCACCTACTGATAATGGAGAAAGAGAGGCTGTGATCCTGCAGCTGTGAGACCATGCAGAAATGGTAGGAGAGACTCAGAAGTGTTTAGTTCCCCATTAAGAAGCTGAGAGAGGGAGTTTTTCAGTGCAGAGCATTAGCTATAAAGAGACTTTGATCTGTGATTAGAGAAACCGACCCGTCTTGTATCTGTTCTTTGTAAAATAGGCAATGAAAAGGAGTATATTCTTGCTATGTAGGATTGTAGCCAAACTTGCTTATTAACTACTCCTAGAGGTGAAGAACTTAACTGTTGACTAACTACTTGAGCCAGAAAGCACAGTGGTATTTGTGTATTTTTTTTTTTTTGTTCTTTGTTTCAAACATGTTCTCTGCTTTTCATTGTGTGGGTTTTTTTGTTTCTTTGTTTGTTTTGAGAGAGAGACAATAGCAATACATGCCCATGGAAGAACTGACAATGTATAGCCTTGTACACTGTATCTTGGCAGACAAGTAGGTGCAGCTCTGGCATCTCATTTTTTGTTCTCTAGACCGATACTGACAGTAAACAAAAGAAATGCTGTGTGCTAGAATTTTTTTTATTCCTACTTTTGCCAAGACCATCTTACTTAATGCTATTGTTACTAAAAATTTTGGCACAGAGAGAGCACATAAGATATACCCTCTTCACCTTGTATTTTAACTAATAAGCTCATTTATTCTTCTTTAAAATGGCTATTTTGGAAATGCTGTTATTGTTTAAAACATCTTCCCTTTTCTAGAATAAGGGCATAGTTTGTGTGAACAAAAAGCTCAGAATACAAACAGCTGTTTTAATGTGAAGCTAGAGAAAAATAATGCTAATTCCATACAGTAGTAAAGATTTCAGAGCTTCAGTCTCATTATAGCAATTCGTTTGGTCTGATTTTAATGTACTGTTTGCCCTAGAAATTTCAAGACTCTAGTTTCTCCTAGACTTTTTTTTTTTTTTGAGAGAGAGAGTCTAAAAGACCCCTTGTACCTAAGATTTAATTCTTAAACTTTATTTTATAGCACATGAGCAAGTGAACATGGGAAATGGATTAGAATTCTTCAAGAAGATCTAAGATGGTACTTTACATGGCTTCAAAGAACCTATGAAGTAACTTAAGAATTTCTCTGTTGCTCTAGATAGAAATTTTGATGTGATAACACTGTTCTTCAAAAACTAACTTCAGACCCATACACCGTGGGGAGTATAGGGAAGATTTGGAATCCAAACCTTTAGTTTTCAATACAGTCAGTTAGTAAACTGTCCCCATTATTTCTTTGCATCTAATCCTTCTGTTCTCTTGCTATCTTTTTTGGCATTCTCTAGGCATCTCTTTTCACTTAGAATCCACAATCTAGAACACTCTTTTTGTAAATTATTCTCAAACTTATTTCTGAAGGAAGAATTAAAATCTGTTCTTTAACTAACTGCCTTCTGCTTAGGCTGCCTGTCCAGCAGGTGAGAAAATTTTCTCCCAAACCTGAAGAGTGATGGAATCAGAAGACTACAAGCTGTCCTGGAAAGTAGGAATTCAGCCCCTTTTTACTCCTGTGGAAGCTGCACCAGCCTGCAGGTTGGAAAAAAATCGTTGATCAGTAAACCCAAGAGAGATCATCAGGAGGTATGTGACAGTTTACTAGCTTAGTGGTTGTCATCTGCCTGGAATGGAGAATAGCTGTCTCTGATTCCTATATCCCAAACTATGTCAGCATCTTAGTTTAAACAGTAGCTGAAGTAATATATTTAGTGTTGAGAGCAGGAATTGAAAACTAGAACTTTCAGTACTGCTGGTTCTGGATGACAATTCACCACTGTGTTTGCAATACTTGTTTTTTCTCAGACTGTATACATCTAACATTCACTGTTGTAAAGACACTGTGTCAAAAGCAGAAACAATATAACAATATCCTCCCTCAGCCTGATTCTTGCACAACATTATCTATGGTCTGACCACAGGCACCAAATCAAACTTTCAGTGCTTTAGATTCAGGGAAAATTTATTTGTGAATCCCAAATCATATGTGGAATAATCAAAAAGGTGTGTAGCAAAGTATATCAATGTTTTTGGCAGTGCACAATTACGGAATAATTTTAGTCATCATTTTCACTCTGCTAGTAAAAATACAGGTGTGTGTTGACTTCTGGTTGCTTAAACACATAGAAGATTAGTTACTGTTTTTACATCTCTGCTGGTTTTACTGCCTTGAACTTCAATATCTACATGCTATATAATTCACAATTTACCATCTGTTCTTTTTCCCCCTCAATTGGGAAATCCAGTCCTTAGCAAAATGAGATGCATGTGGGAACATTCAAAGGCCAGAATTCAGACAAGAACTTTGAAGGGGAGAGCTAAGGACTGCAGTAGTTCAGGTTCCAGGATAAAGCACAGTTATTAAGGTTTTTGAAAAATTTCAGTTTTGTATTCAAACACCTAAATTCCATTTCACTCTCACATTAGGCATCTAAGTCTTGCATTTTACTTTTCTTTTAAGCAAACAATATTTTAACAAGTATTTTCATTCACGTTTTCGATCCAAATTCCTACTATTGCAATTACCTATGAAATTGAACACATTTAATAACAGAGTAAAGACACTCCCAATGAATGAAAAATCCCTTATTAGACAAAAATCTCAGAATGTCATAACCAAGGCTAGATCCAAAAAATGTGTTAATATTTATAATTCTTGGGGCACAAAAAAATTAAACCTTCCAAATTGTGTCTCAGCTGCTATTTTGTAGACTTTAATGTCCTCACAGTAAAGGCTATCTTGCCTGGATTAACAGGACTGAAGGAGGAAATAGATCTTATCCTTTCTTTTCAGTATTCATGAAAATGGACATCAGACTGGTGGCTTCAGTGGTGGGATTACTTACCATAGTGACAACTTTCCTTACAGAAGGCTGAGCTCATCTTGATTCTTTTCTTCATCAGCGTGGAGAGTGAACAAAACAGCAAAAAAACAAGCACAACCCTTCATCCCCTGTTGAGAATCCAGAGTTAAATACACTATCTCCTGAGATCAATAATTTAACTATTGGCTAAATTAGGTATCTTGTCTCCTTCACCTGATAATTTTTTCTATCTTGAGAAGAAAAGTTGCTTTTCTTGAGTGATGGAAGTGTTGTTTGCTTGTTTTTAATTTTAGATTGGTATGAAGTTAAGATACCTACATAGTAAGAAAAGAGTTCTGATTATTGGTATGTTACTAGTGAACCTATTGAATCCACACTCTGCAGTGTTAATGATTTTCAGTGTACTTTAAAATTGTTCAGGAATGGTTATCTTGTCCAGCTGAAAAAAGACTAGAAAGCATTCCCCACCCAACTAGATGTGTTGTCCTTCTGTACGCAAACTGCTGTGCAAAATAAAGCATAAGAAATAAGCATAAGGAATGACAATTAACAAATGGTGAAAAGGGGTCTCTGGGCCTTTATGTTCTGTTTGACCTTAAGGTGTCAGAATTACCATTTGTGTCATTTATTCATTGAGATTAGGTTTGTTTTTCAGTTTTATAAATATTATCTAAGGAAGTACAGTTTAAGGACAACAGCTGTTCTTTTTGTTACTACTTGTGCAAAACTCAGAATGACTACGAAATGTGAGAAATAATTAGTAGCCTATCAAAAGAAAAAAAAAAAAAAAAACAACAACAAAAAGTAACTAAACCAGCAGTTCAGAGCTCCACTTAAAAGAAAGTGCATAGCCTTCTACTAAAAATATGCATACTATTCATATTGATTTCCACTAAGATGATGTTCATTAATTTGTACTCCACCTGCTGTGTGAGATCTCTGTCTCCCATAAGAAAAGGTAGATACTTAAATCCAGAAATGAGCTCTTGGTGCACTCACTGCTTCATTCAGAGCTCAACAGGCATGACCTGTTCAAAGTTTCTCACGATTCCAACTTTGTTTCTCTCGCACTTCTGGTAGATAGAAAAAGAATACGAATTCCCTGTTAAATCTGAAAGCATTCAATCTAGGTAAGCATCATTTGAGATGTTACATATTAATGTAGCTCATATGCATCATCTGTGTAACCTAGGTACTTTTTTTCTATTGGGAAAAAAAAAAAAAAAAAAAAAAGCCAAAGAGCCAAAATGAGGAGCTTACTGCTCTCTCTTCCTCCATTTCTCGTCTTTTTGTAGAACATCTTGTTCAGGCTGAGAGAGCTATGCATTCAATTTCCCAAAGCAAACTGCATATGCACATGTTAAAGTTCCAACCCACAGCAATTTGGTTGGCTAGTACTATTTTCTTAAAGATGATTAATTTCATGTTTATGAGCTTTGCTATTTAGCAAAGTTCCATTAAGAAATACCATTTTTGTAAATGGTATTTCTTATTTATAACCTTTTTTTAAAATAAATAAATAAATAAATAAATAATCATACTATAACTATTACATTATCTCACAATGTACCAGTAACATGCTCGCTATTCAGTTGGACCAGAACTGGAACCTTTTGAGACACATATTCTTCATTTATTTGCAGGACTCACCTGTTCGAAAGACTCTCATTAACCTACGGCTGTAGGCAACCAGTACTCTTAGGCAACCAGTACTCTAATGGAGTATTTGTTTTAATGAATTGTTATTGTTATGTTCAGGGACTAAACGTTTGAGGAATGAAGTGAGCATCTGTGATCCAAAAGCCAAAGCCCACCAGAAGAGAATGGACTGAATGATCAGAGAGTCTCCCAGAAAACTGTGAGTACCATCCAACATCCTGTGCTGAAAGAGAGCACTTCTGAAGGGTGCTACAAGCTCCTGGTGGATTAGAACAAGTGGTACTGGAACAAGAGAGATGAATAATGCAGATATCAAAAGTAGTAGTTACACAATATACTGAAGTATTAAGATATGATGCCAAGAATAAGACATGGAAGACAGTTCAAACCAGTCTGTCAATACCAGAAATTATGTACTTGTATCACACTTCAGGAAAACGGGAGAGAAAATAATAGAAAGCAGCATATGTAAGGAAAGAAGAAGGGGGATAAAGCTTGGGTTTAAAAGGACAGAACACTTCCCTTCCTCCAAAGTTCAAAGAGTTTAATAAGCAACAGAGTACTAGTGTACTACAGAGTGATCCATTTACGAATAGGAGCTTCAGTTCCTATTTACACTTAGATAACGTATGCTTTAGAAAAACAAACAACAACAACAAAGAACATAATGCCTCTGACCATCTAGAAATGCTACTTGGAGATGTGAATTGGACCAAGAAGTAAGAAAGCTAGGCTTCTAAAGCATTAGCAAATCATAGAATAGAATCAAAGAATGGCTTGGATTGGAAGGAACATTAAAGATCATCTAACCCCAAAGTCCATTTGTACAAATATGACTAGGTGAAATAGTAAGGAACTGAGGATTGGTCTCAATTTCATGATGGTATAACCATGTAATCAGCAGCATGGAAGGCTGTTAATTCTTTTATTTATTCAAGTAAAATAAATTACTTTCAGGTAATGGATTTTCAGCAAACAAGTTTTTTTTATATGCACAAACAAATTCCTTGCAGCAGCTTTTCAGAGAGGATTTTTTTTTTTCTTTTTTGTAAACAGGGAATCCCTAAGGAGTTTATATAGAGATGGGTGAATATGAATCAAAAATGGACTCCTGTCCATTTTTTGCAAACTGTGAACAGTTTGCAAAAAAAAGTCAATTTAGATGTAACTATAAAATATGAACTAGTCAATCTAATGAGGCCTAGTTCATGAATGAGGGATGAAGAACTGTGTGGAGTTCCATTAGGCACAGTAACACATCCTTATATGTGGAAAAACAGGGCAGTGTGAGGCTGATTAGAAAACAAGAAACTGAAAATGCATTATAGTAGTACTAGAGCATGAGGGTTTTTGTTTTTTTTTGTACAAAGTATTGATCTTCACTAGTTTAAGTAAAAAAGCTCCAATGGCTTGCTCAACTGTTTTTTCCTGAGACACCTTGTTACCTGAGTGTGGTGTCAGACGGTGCAGCCCTGGAACTGCTTCATGGAGGTAGGCAGCACGTACTGCTCTCTTTTTCTTCCATGCCTTCTCTGCAAATTGTACTCCCAAACTCTTGACAGCAGTTCAAATACTGTGTCAAAAAGGTAGCAGGATAAAGGGACTGTTAGTTCCACTCTGTATTCAGAAAAGCGCCTGAAATAGTAAAATGAAGTCGATAGCTAGATAGTCTTATTAAAATGGCAAAAATAAATGACCCTTTACTGAGCAAGGCAAAGTAATGATATTGAGTTGGCCTCAACAGCAGGAGTTGGAAAAGAATCCCTTCCCCGTTTGGCTAGACTTCTCACATTTGAGTGCTTTCCATAATGAAACATTGCTGGATTTCTCCATTTTTTCCATTCCTAGAGAATCCAATTTACAGCGAAGTGTCCTGCTCTATGCATTACAATGTCAGGACTCAAGTGCACTGTAACTTATAGTTCAGGGTGTGCCAGTACGGTAAGATTTTGATGGAGAAAATCCTACATAAATCCTCTCCTACACACAGGAGACTTATTACTAGCTACCTTATCAAATCCAGCCTCAGTAATGGGCCACACAGGAAACGTAATCTCTGTGACTGTTGTGCAGTGGAAGCTAGACTAGCCACTTTACAAAAATGAAGCCTTATTTTCAGGAAATAATTGCTCAGACTTGCTCCTTAAATCAGCTATGTACTATTTGACTTTTATACTATTTATTTCAGGTTTGTTTGTTTGTTTTAAATCTGTGACCAGAAGAATAAGATAGGTTTACATCTTCTGCAGAAGTTATCTGGATGTGAACAGCGACAAATGGTCTAAAGGAATCTGATAATCATTCAAAAAGCAATAAATGGCTGACATTTCCAACTTCTGTTGGTTTGAGAGGGGAGGGGAAGAGAGAGGACCAGGGGGAGGAAGGGTGTCTAGATGCAATGCTAAACCTTAGCCTTATAGAATTTGACAACTTTATTATGAATTGAGGCATACAGGCTGTTGCCAACACTTGATCTTCAAATTTCCAGTGAACACTCATTCTCCAGTGTGCTTTTATTCCTCCCAGATTTGTTATCATGTCTGTCTTGCCATTGTTGCTACTCTTCACTTATGTATTTTCTTGTACTCATGGGCTAGCTGAGAAGCATGATAGTATGAGTATGTATTTGCTACACTAAATTCAGTGCCATGTCAGTGTTTTTGTTTTGTTTTTTTCTTTTCTCTTTTAACTGAACTGTAGAGGCAAGAACAAGGTATATACTGGCTAAACCCTCTCATTTTTAAAGGGTAGCAAGGAAGACTTGTGCCATCTGACAAGAAAGATCAAAGAAGTGAGTTCCTCTGTTCAGTTGCCTGTCTTTAGAATGAGTACTGCATCACCTAGCTAATTCTCAAACTTAACTACATTTATCAAGTCACTACCTGTGGGAGCATTATCTATCTAGGGCTTGCCCACAGAGCAGCATTATACAGTTGCTCATTGATCTTAAAGATGAGTGGCATGATTATTTAGAATGGCAAACATGTACCCAGATGATGTGGCACAGATTTACTTCTAAATGTAGGTTTAGACAACAACTGGGAATGGAACAAAGGTTTCCCAGAGAAGAATACAAGTATACTTCCCAGTGAAACTTTTTCATGTGTTTTTTATGATAGTGAGTATAGTAAATAAGATTATGCCACTTCTGATCCTTCACCTACCACCTCATTTCTTAACAATGACTTCTCTTTTGAATCACACTGGAAATGACCCACAACTTATTAATAGCTGATCTAAATGAAAATAATTATGATGTATTAGAGGGAGCCTGTAGTTATTTTTTTTAACCGAATACTCTTCCTCTTTTCTGTTCCAGTGGTATGTAATAAATAAATAAATGAACAACCATCACCCCAACAACAAAAAACACAACCAAGAAAGCCAAATTTAATTACGCTTCTAGAATTCTAACTGATCCAATTTCCTAGAAGACTCATCGCACACTTGAAGAACATCTGGAAATTCTATTTTACGTTTAACGTGGCTTCTGTCATTCTTAGAATGTAAGTAGCCATATCTGATAAGAACATTGTACTAATAATGTAGATAAGTTTACACTAACTGGAAACAGAACAGGAATAATCTGTAAAGCTAGGAAAAAATAAATAGGACTAAGATAACCAATTAAAAAAAAAAATTACTTAGCTTGCAGGAATGAAGACATGTCAGGTCAGGTCACTGTTACTTTGAACCACTGGCAGGAACTGATGTCTTCAAAGATGGTGCAAATGAGTCCTCCTCCGTAAAAATGGACATCACTATAATGTAGGTCAGGTGTGAACTCCTGCCTGTTTCCTTAGTGACCTGCAAAGAGAAGGGCAACAATTTGAATAAGTCTGTAAAGATTATTCTGTTAGCCACAACACTGAATATGATGCTATGCATTCCTCTAGATAACTGTATCTAATAAATATCATCAGTATTTTGGGATATGTGCCTATGAAGAAAGTGATGCTACAGATTTTAAAATAACCATTTCTAATTTGCTTATGCAAAAGTATATGGATCAGAAATGCAGTTTTGGTGTAAAAAAAAAAAAAAAAAAAAAAAAAAAAAAGAGGTGAGAACAGAATAATTATTCTTTGTCATAAGCACAGTGTTTTTGAATATCACCATGTATTAAATTCTTAGTGAAACAGTTTGATTAAACATAAATATCACAAATACTGTTTGCCTTACAACTTTAGGCCTGGTAAACAATTTTCAAGTGAGAAGGCAAAATGAGAAGCCTTAAGAAGCCTGGGCACTGAGTTTAGTAGCAGAGATGTTTACATCCCAGGCTTCCCTGCAGTCCCCTGTAGCATGGTAAGCTTACCGGGGCAGGTGCTCTTTCTGTTCTGAATTGCTGTTGACAGAGTACAAAAGAAATAGATCTAACATTTTGTCTGAAATCATTTATGTAAATATAGGTTGCTAATTCTTAATATGAAATAGTATGTATAGTAACAATATGTTTATGTATCCATCATTACACTAACACCACTCGTTATTTTACTTTGTGTAAAATTTTACTGATTTAATTTTTTGTAGGAAAAGGCAAGCTGAAAGTAGGTCTCCATTCTTAATTCCTTCTGCAGAAGTACACGTCAGCAGCTGGAGCTACTTTACATAGGATTTAAACAACAGTAAACAAAAACAGATTAGAAAGGCTGCTAAAGCCTCAACCACAATGCTCAGTTTAGCATCAATTTTACAATCTGCCTACCACTGTCTAAGACCCAAAGGGGCAGGATTTCGGCTTGAAAAGCTGGCTAACTGCAATGCCTGGAGAATCTGAACATTTCACAGTCACAGGGAAGTATAATCCTTAATCTGTAAATGAAGAACTACTGCCCCAAAAGTCACTGCGAATTGAATACGGTTTTCAGGTCCCCAGGATGGGAGCAGGGTCTCCTTCTTGCCAGCATCGTTCACAGTTTAAATAATGACTTGCTTGCAGGTGCTTATTGAGGAGTAGAAGTCACTCAGAACAGAGGCATCCACTAGACCCAGAGCAGGACCCATGTACTAGGCTGTGGCTGCTCAGGCACTTATACAAGGTAAGTACGTTCTTATAAGTAGTTGAATGTATGTACTGATACATCTAAATCCTTTTGTATATATAACTATATTCTGCAGCCTGCAGATGTAAGAAATTGCACATCCATGCGTGCTCAAATGATTTCTCAGATTTGTTTGCTTCACTATGATTGAAGCCTCAGCATTCAATTAGTACAACATGGAAATCAAGTGTCATTTTCAAGTTTAAACACTATTAATCCTCTCATCTTCTTCCTAGTGAGAGAAGACTATTAAACACATTTCATACTTGAGCAGTATTTTAGGAAACTGCATTCACTCACATGCCCTAGTTCATTTTATTAAGCATGTGAGTATTATGGCTTACAACCATTAGCAAAAGGAAAAAAAAAAATCAGGATAAAGTGATTTACATTTACTTTGGCTATTGTAAGAGAATTTGTTAATGAAATGCTTTTGTGTTCAGCTGAGAAGGTTAAAACCTTTTCAGTATAAAAAGCAGTGGAACTGCAGAATGAAACAGACAATTACTTTCAAAAAGAAAAACCTAACCCAACATTTTGAGCTTCCAAAAAAAAAAAAAAAAGGAAAAAGCTACAGACATACTTACTGTAGACTTTGATTTTGCATGAAAACTACCATGCACCAACTAATACTGCATGCAGCATTTCCTTTATCATTTAATTATGGATATTGGTTACATGCACACTCAACTCTGGGCAATGGTACAAAGCACAAAGCTAACTTTCTCCATGTTTGTTTGCTTGGTTTCTTTAAACAAAGCCAAGTTAGTCAGCAGAACCTAGAAGTGGTTTAGATATTGAAATGCAAGCAAGTTCTTGGCTTTAGCTTAAGTAGACTTCTCTTCCCAAAGGACAGGTAGAACATGGAAAAAGGATGAACAACTTGGTGAGTAACAGTCACTCATTTGGGGGCGTTATTTATTGCCACGTCACTTTAACAGGATGAACCAAGACCAGGATCCATAGTCTTAACTCGTACTTGTATCTCCCCTCACTGGCTATACATCCATGTGTGTTTCCTGGTGAGTGCTATGGCCCTGAATGCTATAACTTCAGTCTGAGGCCTTACTCCTTTCTTAATTACCTCTAAAATTAGTTTTGCTCATCTACTGTGTAAAGTGGGAGAAATTAAAAAGCTCGAGCCTTACACTACTCATTTGGAGGATGAAAACAGACAATTGCAACTAGATGATCATTTTAACTAAACTAACAATATTTCCTTTTTTTAAAATATACACATTACTGAAATAAAAAGCCAAAGTTAGTTAACTTAGACTAAAGGTAGAAGTTTTACCTTTAGAAATGGTACTTAAAATGAAGTACCAGAAAAATATGATTGCACAGAATGTAGTTTTTAAGTGTTGTTAGGGACTGATATTTATTTCAGTCCTTTGTGAGTCCCATCCTTTCAAATTATATTTGTGTTGGCTCCTGGTTGTCCTTTCCCACTCAGCCCTGCTAGGAATGCTGGGAAGTGATGTTATTTGGGAAGGCTTATTTCTTAAAATATCCCCCTCTATAACAAAGCTCATAACATAAGGGAAGACCAAACTGAGACAGAACTGTCGTTAGCAAAGACAGCAGGGTAGGGCATGTCATAGCCGGTACATGCTGGCTGGGGTAAGCAGGTTGCTTCCCTTTGAGAGGTTTTGTGGCTTTTTGCAGGTCAAGTGGCACACCTTGCTGTTATGGAATTATGGAAAAATGTAGAAATCTGAGTGTAACTTTCTCAACACTAGGTGCCTGTACAAACAAACAGTGTAAGCCAGTGTTAGAAAGGATTATTTTGAATATAAACATTATGCAAGGAGAAAGAGTATTAGACTAGAAGAAAACTCAGAAAAACATGTAAACCACCAAATAACGTATCCAACGTATCCTCCAAGCGGAGGTGTATTCTACATCTACTTTCTGCATTCAGGACTCTTTTTTGTATCAATCAAATCTCTTTTCTCTTGCTTCCAGAATAAGAATGAATCAGTTCAAAGTTTTCCCATCAAAACATCCCCGCTCTGCCATTGTTAACAGAATTATATTCATGATGTTCTTTGCAAGCATGGAGAACAAATTCATGAGAAGCCCACCAGTTACTGTGTAGTACTGCACCTGCTTAGCTGTCTTCTACTGTCCAATATATATTATTATTAAAAAAAATAAAAAAATCACTACTGCTATTACAACCAGGACAGGACAGATAGCAGAAAGATTGAAATGAAGGTTTGCAGTGAAGCTCTAATCTACACATAAAACAAAACTGAAAGGGAACGTTTCCCTCAGGTGGAGACTTCAGGTCTTGCTCTGAAGCCTCTGGCCATTCAAGCAACCATTGCTCTGGTGGCCTGTAGGTTAGCGCTTTGTAGTGCTGTAGAATAACTGGTCATAAGCTCAATTTTTATGTTTTAGTTCTTTAAAACGTTGGGAAGGGTTTAGGTTTGATGGTTTGTAAAACCAGCAGAGGTCTGCATTGTGTATGGAAGCTGTGACCTCCAGCTCAGGATCCATTTCATACCACCACCACTCTACTTAGGAGCTTCATAGACAGGCTGGCAGGAGCCTCGGCCCATAATTACATCATTGAAACTGAACTGTTTCCATAAATTATTTACTTCCAAGTAGTATATTCCATGAGGGGAAAAACCTTGTCTCTCCATGTCAAGACAAGAACCTCCTCAATGGACTAAGCATGCTCCATTACAGGTGGAGAACAAGAGATGGAGTGCATAGGAAAATAATTAGACTGGGAAAAGAATGAGCTCTCTGAGGGAGTATGCCAATAAAGAGCAAATGTCTGTAATCCCTCAGAAATCAATAACATAATAAATTAGGCATATGCCACAATTGTTTCCAATTTTCTTTCTAGCAACCCACCACCAAATAACATTAAGAAGAGTTGTATAAAATCAATTTCATCACAGGCATTTGTTTTGTAATATTGAGACATATGGATTGTGCTTCTCTCACCTCCCATTAGAGCACACATTCACAGAACTGATTTTCATGCAAGCAGATAGATAAAAAGAATTGAACCTACTCACTGTATATGTTTTTTATAAATATTAAACATTTCTCTCTCTCCTCTCACCTTCTTCACCCCCTTATAAAAATACTGTCCCACTCTGTGAACATGTATCAAATAGTATTACAAATATTTCACTACTCTTCTCACAATGAAAGATTACATTAACTTTTTACAAAAAATAAAAATAAAAAATAAAAATAAAAATCTGGTTTTCCGGCTATTTCCTGTCTCATGTGCTGTTTTTGGCTAGAGCTGCAACCCTGACCTTTCACTTCACAGCATAGAACAGGACAAGTTTTGGTGGTAGGAGCCGAGTGCCCAAACTGAAATTGCAAACTGGATTTGATAAGAAGCACAAAAAACTCTTAGTCATTGCTGTAGAGCTGGCTAAAGCTACAGCACACAAGGAAGGATGTCAGTTTAGTGCCTTCCTTCCCCATCCTCCTCGCTGGCAGAGGAGAAGGCAGGATGCACTATCAGCAGCCTTAGGGGCTTCCTCTTATGCAGCAGCCGCTGGCCAGGCGGGCGTGAGCAGGCAAGTAATAGTGACTTCCAGGGCTGGAAAAAGAGATTGAAGTGTGGCATAGACAGCGTGTTCGGTGCCAGACACATCCAGGCAGGGAAGATGGAAAGACATCAAAGAAAGCCTCCTGCCTCACCCACACAACCAGCTTCTGCCCAGATCCTTATGATTTTGAATTACTGGATTCTTACTCAGTCTTTGAATTCACAGTCAATTTTCTGAAAGGGTGAATTAGTTCCATGGGAAGTCGTACATGTTTCCAGGAGGTATAGGCATAGGCTAGAACAGACCAGTTCACTGATCCCGAGGCACTGAGTGCACTGGGTTAATAGTTACCACATGCACATACAAATCCCAGGATCTATTTCCCTCACCACCACGAGATATTGGGGGGGGGGGGAGAAGAGGAAGGGATCTAAAGGATCTAGTTTAGAGTCTCATGCAGCACAGCTCTTAAGCTATGTCCCTGATATGTGAAAGGACTCGTAACAAAGAGTAAACGAAGATGCACCTACTGCATCTTGCAGAATGTCTTAAGGGGTGTGTCCTTCAGTATTACTGAACAGGAAGAAGACGCATCCTTTTAAACATGTACCAGACCTATTGCCATATGCATTGTCTAAAACTAGAATCACAAGTTAAAAAATCCATTTAGGTTTTATTCTGGTATGTTTGAAACTATCAGAGCAGTCAGCTTTCAGCTGAGCTTCTGCAGTCACCTGTGGCTTCAGCCCAAAGGAACATCTTAGTCTGCAAGTCTTAATTTCAGCAGAATTTCTTCCCTGTTACAAAACCAGCTAACAACAGACAGCTAAGCCAAACTACTGCACATTGAGGAGACTCTCACTATAGATTTTCGAATGCTGCTAAACTAATTTCAGCTCATGATTAATCCTGAGAACTTAGTGAGGTACAGTGCTGATATTCTGATAGAGGATGGGGAGTGCTACAGTCCCTTGCTCAATGTCCATGAAGGGCCTTTACACCGTGGATGGAAAACAAAGTCACAGAAGCCTTTGATATCCTTCCAATAAGCCTTCACCACATTCAAAGCCTCATAAATTCTGTTACTTGAAAAGCAACAGAACATACCCACATTGCTTTCAGTAGAGGAGGTGCTGGAAAGGGCTTTCTTGTTTCAAGAACTTTTGCAGAGGGAGTTATAAAAACAATGGTAAATCTTCCCTTCTCATCCATTAAATACCAGAGAACAAAACACTCTTATCTGATTTCTGTCCATGCAACAGCATTGCATTTCCAAAAAAGCTAGTGAAAGCAACCAAGTAGCAGGGTAAAAACATTAAAAACACTCTTTTGAACAGCCCTGGATCCAGAAATGAGCAAGAATTGGAGGTTTCATCTCAGATTAGTGAAAGCAGAAATCAAAACTCTTGCAGAGATTTGATTCTGAACAAGATACAACAAGAAATGGTTGTGTGTAACATGCTGATCACA